GGCATCACAGCTCAAAAGATCTGCTCCCTGAAGTGCTTCTGATGTTGCGGCTTGTCTGCGCAGGATGCGCTGCAAGGTGGTGTTGGTAGGATGCCCAAATTGAACATGAAGGTCTCTCAAAATCTTTCGCACTTCAGGAGAGATTGTCAACCATCGCCTCCGTCTTTCAGCTTCGGTGATGTTGAGGATGGGATCCAAATCAGCAACCTGGGCAGCTCGGATTGAAGAGTCATCCAAATGAGCTGGCTGTTCATCGACAAGTTCAGGGACTTCTTGTGGAAGTTCTGGTTGGGTAGGCCGATCAGGTCTAACATACACAGGCGGTGCGCTGAGCTGATCCGTGACCCGAGACACACGCCCAACTCTTCTAGTCCGCTTGGTTCGGGGCGATTGAAGTTGCTGTGCAGCAGAACGAACTTCTGAAGGAAAAACCTCAGCAACACCGGAAGCCGCTGATCGCTCGGCACCTTGTTGAAGCATAGCTTGAAGAACCATTTGGTTCAGCTTGTCAGGTCAAACAAAAGCCTGGGATGCACGAGAGCCAAAACAATTGTTGCCCTCGAGATATTGATGTTGATGGTCTCTACCACAAGTCATGCCGGAGAAGAGTGCTTCAGCAGTGAGCATTGTTGTCAGGTAGGTTGACGGCTTGTGATGTGGAAGTCCATTTTCACGATCACAGTAGCCAACCTGACATCCATCTACTCCTGTGGTAATGAGAAGGCCCTCTTCAATCAACTTGACAACTTCAACAAGTTCCTCTTCTTCAAGCCATGACGATCCAGCAGGTTGTTCAACAAAAACATGCTGTTTGGCCTTCACTCGGCCTACAATGACCTTTGCAACCAACTTGAGTATGGGACGCCCTTGATCTCGAAGTTCAAGGACTGTGAGCGCTGCTTGACCACCTTTGGCTATGTTGGGCCGGGACCAATTTCCCCATGGATAGCAAGGTTGAGTGCTCACAGGGAGGTATGGGTCCTCGCAAAGTAGATCATGGCAAACATGTTTGTAACCTTGGCTGGTTGATGCATCCCATGAGGAGCTTGAAGAATCAAGTGGTGCACCAGCCGCAAGGCCAGCAAGGATGGCCAAAATGGTGATACCCATCTGACCAGCAAACAACTGCTTCAACCATGTCTTGCTGTATGGTGGTCGATGAGGAAACTTGGTGAAGGTTCCAGACAAAACTTGTCTGCGTTGCCAGTCTTCACCATGGAGTGACCATGGAGTGAGGCTTGCCATGCACTGAACTTCTTGCTCTTCTTGGTGGTGTCCTTCCGGGCAACAAATTGGTCACAATTGTCCGTCACAAAGTTGACATCCTCGCAGACTTCTGCTTGTCGCAAGGGATCAAGGTGGTCAGGAGACTCAGGAGGAAGGAGACCAGCACGACGCATGCCTGCAACTTCTTCGCGCAGGAAGTCAAGCTCGATCTGAGCATCAAGAACATCATCAGGGTTCCGGCCATCAAATCCATGAACCATGCAGTGCTCGTAGTAGTCAAAATCGGTCATGGCAAAAGCCTCGTCCTCGGGCTCGTTGGGACGAGGTGACTCATATTGATCCAAAGCAGTGAGGTCAAAGTCCAATAGACTCACTGCCAGTGTCTCTTCTTGGTGCGAACCAAGGGGAGCCCGATCACGCCAATCTTGCGGAAATCCACAGTGCGTGATCCGACATCGATCACTGTCTGGAGTTCTTCCATGAAAGGGCGAGAAAGCAAAAGGGGAAGCGCTGTGAAGCTCGCCATTGACTCCACTGATTCCGATGGGAAAAAGCTTCACTGTGTCGCTGGCAATCTGGCTGCCAACGCCTCGAAAGGACTGCTTCTTGAGGCGCTTGCGACTGGAAAGTCCCAAACAACTCTGACCATTCAGTTCCATGCGTTGTCCTCGTGCAGCCTGAATCCAAGATTGCAAGTCCAGGAGGATCTTGCTCATCAGAGGCGTAGGTCTCAAGGCTCAAACGATCACCAGAGTTAGGATCGTCACCAACCATCACCACTTCAAAATCATGTACTTGGACTGCTTCGGGAAACTGAATGTTGAAACAAAGTGGAACCCGAATGCATCGTCGAAGGTCGCTTGAGTGGCCGAAACTCACCAGCTTTCCACATGTGGGTGATTGCTGAGTGAAGAAGTTTGGCACGACCATACAAGTAAAAGGCCAGGCGGTAGATCTCAGGAACCACTGGCTTCTTCTCCAAAGCCAAAAGCAAAGGCTGATGACAAAAAACTGCAGCTTCTGGGCTCGATGCCATTTGACAAAAAGTGTAGCCCTCATACAGCGTGTCAGAACCGCAGAGAGTGCTGTCGCCAGGCAAAGGCTGCAAAATGTCTTGATCATGACTTGCCAAAAGAAGAAATTCTGGGAAATCTACGACAGGAGTGATCAAATTTCCATAGTCCCAAAAACGTGGGTCACCATGAGAAACTGGCGAATGATCTTGGCTGTTTTGGGTTCATCTGATCCCCGACCCTCACACAACTCCCAATCAGCAGCAGCAGACCTTGGTGGAGAGGTCCTGGAAGGAGAGGTGCTTGGAGAGGATTGAGGGGCAACGCCAGGATATCCATGTGGAGGTCGCAGAGCTTTCCGGTCTTGTTCATCTTGCAGCCTTGTCACGGGCTCGGCAAACACTTGCAAAAAGTTCTCCAGACCTAGCTGGTCGACGCCACAAGGTGCACAAAGCAATTTGAACCAAATAACGCCAAAGCTGACCAGGATCTTTTCGTTCTGCGAAAATCTCTGCTTTGCTGCATTCGCTGTCCTTGCGCACGATGTGTCTCGTGTGTCCATGTGCTCCCCGGTGGTACCCTCTTTCGTTCCCACCGTAATAGCTGCGATGGGCGCACAGCTGGGTATCTTTCAGTACCATCAACACCTCATGCGTTGATGAAGGCAAAGGAAAAGTGAAACATGCTCGAAAATTGTCATTGCGCTCTTCAAGCGTCTTCTCTTTCACGGAGTTCACCAAGTAGCCTGACGGAGCTTCAGGTACTTGTTGGAGCGCGTTGGGCTTCAAATCCAAAGGACCAACGCAAACGCGGGTTCATCCTCAGTCATGTGCACATTCTCAAAAGACTTGGCATACTCAGAGACCGCATTGGAAACATGAGCTTCGTTGGAGACATGGACCTGGTTGTTCACATGAATGTCCAAATTCTTAGAAGCGATGTCATAGCCATGAGTGGCAAAGGTGAAGCTTCATATTCAGATTCCAGCTTGTCATGCAGCACGAAGAACGTAGTCTTCTTGTTGCCAGCATGCTGTGAGCTACCGGGCTTCTTCTTCGGAGAGGCACTCTTGCCGGGACCACGCTGTTGGGGCAAGCGTCATCGCCATACCAATGGCCCTTCTGGTGGCAAGAGGTGCAAGTTGTCACGGACTTCAAGAACTTCACCGCATCGCCACGAGCTTGCTTGGCCTTGGCATCGAAGGAGATGTCGCCAGAAGGTTTGAAAGGATTCTCCTCAGGATTGAGGTCAGGAAAATCTTGCAAAAAGGTCTCCATGTCATCTTCATTTTAGGATTAAGCGCCGTCATGCGCTGGTGCATCACAGGATTCGTAGGTCTCTTCAGGGTCGTAGTCGCCACCTCATAGCCAGCATAGGTCTCATCATACTGCGCCTCATATGTCTCGGAGGCGGCAAGGAAGTGGTGAGGTCTGCCACGGCCTTTTCCCAAAGAGCGAGGCTTCGGCTTTTCATACCTGAACAGAATGCCAGAGTCCCAGAGTCTCGTGGAACTCCACCTCGAGCACATCCCAAGTAGTCTCGACGGCGCACAGGTTTGCCTGATGCATGAGGAAACTGGATGCGCATGGCGTTGGCAATCTGGTCAAAGTCGTACGTGTTGTTGACAGAGCTGAAAACAGAGACCTGCTCCTTCTGGTCTAAGCCGCCGAAGATCAGCAACATCATAGCCCGCAGATCTTGGGAGACCGACGTCTCAGAACTGACTTCAGTCAATCACCGAAAGTCCTGTTTTCTGCGAATGATGTATTGCTGCATCGTTTCTTGGGGTCGCCTCCAAACATTTGGCGAGTAGAACGCCTGCAGGAAAAGCTCGTTTGCCTTGACAGGCTTCACAGAGGCTTTGGAATCTTTTAGGGCCTTCAAGAAGTTCTTCAAGCCAGTCTGACTTGGCTTGCCCTCTGAATCCTTCGTCTTGGTCTTTGCATGCTCGAGCTTCCTGACAGCCTCGTAGGCTGTGCCGCTGAGGCCTGCACGTAAGTGCACTGCAGTGGCTGCTTGCATCGAGTCTTGTCCTTCTCTTCCATGCCAAAGATCCCATGCACGTTCTTCATCTTCATCATACAGTTCTGGTTCGCCAGCATACTGAGGGACTCCATATCTGTCCACATCAAGCCTTGCCATCAGTGGTGCCAAAGGTCAAGGCCAGGACCAGGAGAACCTTCAGCTTGTAGTGCACGTGAAGCACCGGCCGCAAGGAGCGGGCGCAAGTCAAGCACAGCAGCCACCGTTGACCACCAGGACAAAGAGGATGAGCGCCGGCGGAAGCGCAGCAGGAGCCACGCCAAGCAGATGCCTGAATTAAGAGGCTCCGCTTACCATCAAAATCTCAACTGCGGCGAGTGAGAACGATGGCACCAGGTTTTCAGCCGAAAGGGCAATGGATGAATCACCTGTGCAATGCTGTTGATTCTGGTCAAATTCACACTAAATGTAATTTCATGTAGTCATATAAACGTATTGAAATGTACTTCGATGTACTCAGATGTACAGTAATTGATGGTAAACAAATGTAATTAAGTTTCATTCAATTGAAGTAGATGTAACGTGTTCAAGTGTAATAAAATACAACTGGATTTAATTAAATGCTATTCAGAGTTCAATGGAAATAAATGTAATGTAATTCAATGTAATTCAATGCAATTAAATGTAATGAAATGTAGCTAAATGTACTTGATGATAATTGATGGATTCACTGTTGAACCACATGCGCTTGCGAAATGGACAAAACCATTGCCTCACCTTCACAACGTACGTCTCCACATGGCCACCGCAGCAGGAAAAGTCGTAAAAAGCAGGTTCGCAAAGACGCCTGAAATAGACTGACTGCCTTGAAAGGTTTACGAGCTGCAAGGGTGCCTCCCACTGAACTTCGAATTCCTGGGCATGGGCGTGCATTGAGAGGCTGACAATTTGTGTTTTGTGATCATCCATCCGTCTCACACGTCTCACAGGTGCAATCCGTCGTACGCAAAGTGAAACCAAACACAAGCGTCAGATTTGCTAAAGCTCGCCAAGCGTCAGTGAAATCTTCAAGAATGACGCCAAAATAAACATAAAAGCTGCCCAAAAGGTCGTTCGGATTATATGACCTCAAGTACATCACATTGTAATTCTGCTGTAATTCTGCTTTCTTGGGCCTGTTTGTTGGCACGTCTTCCCTGCACAGATGGCTCGTTGCTGCACACTTGAACTGTGGCCAAGTCACAAGGAGAGCAAAAAGGTCTGGGTGCCGTCGGGTTTAACCTGTTCGCAATTGTTCAAAGCTTTCAACAATCCCTCAACAATCCCTCAACGATCCCACTCCAACCATCTCCAAACCACACGCAAAAATGTCTGTGGTTAGCCTCCGCTGAAAACGGTCAAATGTGCCCTGAGTTGTGTCGCTCGGTGTCACTCCAAGGAACGTTCGTTTCTTGGAGGGTGCCTTTTGTGTACACCAACTTCTTCACTAGCGGTGTGCCACGAATAAAGTTGACCTTCAAGGTTTCAGGCACTCTGTATGCACCAAATTGATGAACGATGCTGCCAGTTTTTGAAACCGCGAAACATTCGAAACCATGCCATGTCTGTGGCCTCATAGGGGGTGTCTGGATAGAGGATCGATCCCAGAGAAGTGGATGCTTGCATCGTGACACTTGCTCGCTCCCTCGAACGTGCTTTCCCGCTCGAACTTACTGAAGGTAGCTTCGGAAAAGTGAGCACCTGGCAGAGTGGTTTGCATTTAAATTGCTGTTTCAAAAGTCCTGGGAGTACGTTTTAATCCGTGAGCTCTCAAACGACCTTCATCCAACGGCCTGTTGGTCCAGAGAAGCTTTGACCACCTGATTCTGAGAAGTACTTTGAGCGCAGTTGTCAGCGTCGTGAGTATTGCAAAACTTTGCCTGCGGATGGAAACCAGGGATCTGGCAAAACAGGAGATCAAACAGAACACACGTCACCGAAAGAATCCACTCTGGGCCAGTAAAGCTATGAAGTCCAATTCACACCCTTGGCTTGATAAAGATGTATTTTCATGCTGGCACGTAGCCACCTGTTATGGCCTGTTCATGGCAACCAATCTCTCCAAGGTACCCTCTGGTAAACTAACATAGCTATTGAACATGGCCCAGTCGAAGTAGTGTATCGTTTTCCCATTAATAGCATGGTGATTTTCCATAGTTTTTTGTATGTTTACCAGAGGGTAAAATATGTTACTAAATCTGTTCCAAAATGCTGAAATTTGGACCCGGGAGTTCTGGCGAGTTTTTCTCTGGTGCAGTTCCATGCACGAAATCTCCGGCACGCTGGGGCCAGTGGCAAAGTAGCAACCTCACCGACATGAACGGCCCAGGTCTGATAAATGTTGCGAAAACATGCGAAAACCTGGTAAAAACACCAAGTCTCATGCGAAAAAACATCATTTTCCCCACTAGAATAGCCTATTGTTGCCAAGTCGTCACGCAATTTGGATTTGATATCACAATTATATCCCTACAAATCTGCAGTGCCCCTTGATGCTTCTTGCCTCGGAAAAGTATCGCAGAAAACATCTTCTTGTTGGGTTGGTCATCATCATCCCTGTCGAAATTGCTACTAGGCTACTGGTATTTGATGATTAGATATGATTAGTACGAGTTAATAATCATGGATCAAGGAAAACCTCTTTATGTCAAGGAGCCTGTGCGGACATCTTTGTAGCCATAGCACTTGAAGTTTCTGGCACACAGGGTGGCACAACTTCGCTGTGCGTATGCACGCATATAAGCTGGGATGGTGATGCGGTCCTAAGGGCAGTGACGCAAGGGCGGTATCCTTTCTGAATCCGTGAAAATCAGTAGAGACCCGCAGGATTGGATTGGGAACCTCTCAAGTCTCAATCCAAAGAAATCGGTCTCCACAACATCAGATTAGTCAACGGAACTTCAAGACATCGAGTTCCACAGAGGAACACCACGTCCTCATCCAGGTGCATGAAGACTGTCACAAATTCGCTGGAGGAGTGGTTCTCGCTGACAGGAAGGGCCAAGTGAAACTCCTGGAATGCTGCTTCGATCCGCCTTGGCTGAGGAGAGCTGTTCAGGCATGTGTTTAGTGTTTTCGGAGAGTGCGCAACACGAATCGCTCTCCACTTGAGTTTGTCCGGGTATAGGGGATACCTTCTGGGGTACCCTATCTTCAGACCATCCCGCTTTGAGTCTGCCACAACGAAGACAAATTCCGCGGGATTGCAATGGCTCGACCTGCCAGGAAAGTGGCGGTGCCTCGCGAGGCAAAGAAAAAGACTGCTTCAGCGACTTGACAACTGAGCTTGCCACCCTTCCAAGAACCTCTGAACGGATAGCACACTTCATATGTCGAACCGTCTTTGGTGACCCCCGTTAGAAGCATGCTGCCTCAGTGCCATTGAGACTGGAAAGCACCGTTCGGTGGGCTCAAGAGGCTCAAGGTACTTGGACAGCAGGCCCGGGGGGTGCATAAAAAATTGGTGCCCCAAATCCAAATGATGGTGAATACAACATATGTAACATAATACTAATTCAACCAATGACCCAGATCTGTATCTGCGGTCCTTCAATAGGGGTTTAACCTTTGACGCATTCCATCCCATTCCCCTGAATAGGCTGCATCTGGCAGTCCCACTGGTTGAGGGCCAGGCGGACGAGAATATGAATTTCAAGCGCAGTAATCTGATATACCCGTTCCTGGACATAGGCCAATGGGCCAGGGCCACAAATTCATTCTATTTCATTCCAAACTGGGTAGTCGCAGATGGAAGTCAGTGATGTGAAGAATTTGAATCATGACTCAACGGGACATTGACGTCTGAGGGCAGGACTTGGCTCAGCGTACCAGCCAGGAATTGAATGATGGTGGGATAGCTGGAGTTCTTCCGTTTCAACGGCACGTGCTGCGTAAGCCTTGGTGCAGGCACGGGCTTGCCGGCTTGCCGGCTTGCCGCAACCACACACAGCATTCGCCTTGACAAAACACACACAGCACAGTTTCTGAAGGAAAAGGTGCATCATGTCACAGTGCAAATAGTGCAAAAAATGTGCAATAGATGCAATAGATGCAGAGATAGGCCAAGATACTGCCTTGAAGTTGAGGTGATGGTCTCCCCAATCTGAAGGTCTCCATCAAACATCGTGGCATTCATGTGATGCGTTCGCTCAAGCTGAGAGCTGGCCGATAGTGTGGTGGTTCCATGAAGCTTGGGGATAAATAAGGCATAGTCCATGACTTCGAAGTCCCAGTTTGGAACCAATCCAGGCACGTCGGTCACCAAGCCTACTATCTCTGGCCTCAGTGCACAGTTCTTTAGGCAAAAGAAGAGCCACAAATTAGAGTAAATTAGGAGGGTTCAACCACAACATCGCAAAGCATTGGGAAAACATGGGAAAACCAAAGGATCTCAGTCCCAGCAGCACATCCGTGCGGTGCTTAATCAGCCAAGCCAAACTGGCTAAGCACAAGAGCATTGCCAGCAGGGTCACAACGGGCATAGACACAACGAGCAAAAGTGAGATCGAATTTGAATGTCCAGAGACCAAACGAGGTACCCAAAACATGTCCATCGTTTTGAAGTAATCCGATTCTGTCTCGGCGTCGTCATCCGCGTCATCCTCATCCTGGCCGCCCTCGAGCGCTGCGAATGATGCGGCAGACCTTTGACGTTCTGCCGTCTCCTCAAATCGTGCCAATTCGATGCAAGCATTCAAATCCTGTCTTTCCCGGGCAGCACGGCAGAAGATGCCCTCAGAGATGGGGGTCAACTTATGCTCCGAGGACGGCTCCACACGTTCCGCATCAGAGCCCTGCTCCAACTTCTGCATGCACATCCGGTTGATGGCCTCCTGCTCCAACCTCAAAGAATTCAACAAGGAGGATACCATGTAGTACAGCGGCGAAGTGAAGACCACAGTCTGAATGGCCATGGCCTTCCACCCAATGATGCGATCATGCACACAGCTTAAGGCATCAAACAACAAGACGGCCACTGCAACAGCAAAGCCCAGGTAGGTGTAGGACAAGAGGAAATCGCTGCGTGAAGCGGCCGTGCTGAAGTCTATCATGACGCCTTTCAGGAACAGGTTGTGGTAGAGAAGCCGACGGTTGAAGCACATGAAAATGCGAAGAAGTGCAAAAGGTCCAAAAATCAGCGGGTAGCACAAGAGAAGCATATCTGCAGGGTTGTTGCCAAAGGCAAACTTCTGCAGGAAGGTGGAGGCCGCAAGAAGAAGCAAGCCACATCCAATGATGAAGCAAACAGCGTCCAGCATACCCTCAAACATGATATCCAGGCTCGATGGCACCACCAAATGCGGATCTGTCTTGTCTTCACCTCCGTCATCACTGCGTTTCCTCCTGTTCAGAATGATCTCCCGCAGCAGCCAGCCCATGACACCTGAGCACTCAGCACTGGAAAATCTGGAATCAAGGGAGGGATTGATTGGAACTGAACTTTAGCCCAACACTCAACTTTCATCACACGTTTCATACGTTTTCTTCAGTGAGGCACCCAGAGTGGCCAACACAGTCAAGAAGACGAGAACCTCCAGAAGGTCTTGCACGAAATTGTGCACGGAGTCCATTCGTTGCATCCTGGCGGCGGAAACAAATCAAGTTGAAACTCACCAGGTCACCCTTTGGGGAAGAAATCCCACCTTGTTGCAGAGATGAAGGGGCTAGCAAGAATTCGCAACTTCCATGGCCGGGGTGGAAAGCGAACTGCTGCCTAGGGGCCGCTAGGGGCCGCGCTTCGTGGCCGCCATCGAGAAACACACGCCATCGAATCAACTGAAACTAGGATGGTGTCCTTTATGAAATCCGCCCGCACCGAAGGTGCTGGGGCGTGATCTTCCGGATGGCACTCGTAAAAGGTTACAGGTTTACCTTGGGGGGGGGGCATTTTTCGGCCAAAACCTCCTGTTTTTGATAGGTCGTGATGCTCGCCTTCAAAAAACACTGTAAAAAACAGTACGGAAGACACCTGTTCGTGAACGCGCCCGTCCAAAATCGGCAAGCGAAAAGTGAAAAAAACCCGTGTTTTTCAACTTTTTGACCTCAATTTTTTGGTTTGCAACATCTTTTTTTGCGGTTCCGCAGGTGGCCTGGCCCGGAGGCGGATTTTTGAGTTTTTGGACCCGTTTTCGGACTGATTTTCGTCGTTTTGTGATAGCAGAAACACTGGTTTTTACAGTGTTTTTCTGTTTTCTGCATGCTTGACGGCTAGCTTCAAAACTTCCAAAAACCTCGTAAATTACTCTGTTTTATGTTACGGTGTGAATGAAAACATCGTAAATACCAGTGTTTTTTGACGTTGGTTAAAAAAAACACTGTAAATTACAGTGTTCTTGGCCACCTGACCCTCAAAAACCATGGTATTTGCAGTGGTTTCTGCTTCTCACCGCGCAAAAACACTGTAAATAACAGCAATTTCGCCGTTTTTTCATGTTTTTCGTTATTTTTTGAACTGCGTTGGTCCGCTATACATGTCAAATTCTTCGCGTTTTTTTTCCGACAATCAGTACTTTCGGATGTTTTTGGTCTCAATGGCCGACATCATTGGCAGTTACGAGCGGCTGCCCAACGATGCGGTGCGGGCGGTTGCCGTCGCGAAGCGACGTGAATATTACGAAACATTATGAAACATTATGAAACAAGAAACTTGCATGGTCTCTCAACCATGGAATTCACGCATTCACTCTTCGGTCATTTGCAGATGGATGAATCACACCACCAGTTTTTGGTTCTCGTATTTTGATCTGAGAGGATTCTGAGGATGGAACTAGACATGCGTCAGTGCCATTCTGGGTGCAAAGAAATAGCTGCCGAGATTGTTCCAAGCGGGTGCAGGTGGCTCTGGCCGTGATATATGCGGTGGACTGCAGTGGGGCTGAGGCATTGAACCTTGGGGCCACGGCCACCTCACAGACCGGATTACCTGCACAACTGGAGCTCTCCTTCAAGGTCCAGGTGTCGAAGAAATTCAACAACTTCGCCCGGTCACTGGGAATTTCGAACCTTGGCCAGGTGAAAAACGCAACGAAACCATCACATCAAACACTTACTGGTGATGGCAAAGGGCTAGTTCAATGATTTCCACATGGAAATCCTCCCAATCCAAGACCCAGAGCCCCAGTCCGGGCAGTCCGGGCAGCCGTGTTGGAAATGGAGGCTCTGTCACCCTCTTCGCTTCTGGGCACGGAGCTTCCTGGAGCGACCCCACCCCCAGTCATGTTTGGATCAAAAGTTCCCTGAGTACCCTGAGTAACTGATGCCGCCCATGAAAAAAATCATCTGCGCCAAGGGACGCCAGGGACGTCTAGCAAATGAAAGGATTCATCTCTGAGGGCTGCAGAGATGCCGAGTATGAAAATTAGAATGGTCTGCACATTGGCAGACATTGGGCAAACAACTTGATCCCAATCTGCTGCACACATGCAAGAAATCTACTAAAAAGATCTTAAAAGATCCGGCAAAACACGCAATCCACTGATATGAATTGATTCAGGCTCTGAAAATCGGCTACCCCCAATCCCATGGTAAAATTCATCATGTTCCCCAGTAAAATCACCATTTCAGATCATCAATCCCCACCAGACACATCAAGGCACCTCCTCCAAGAATGGATTTCCAGCTGATGAATTGTCCACTGTCCAACTGATTCTGCGCGCCCTGCCGAACAAAACAGGACTGAAAAGGGGCCACGTTTCGAAACCGGGGACTTAGAGAGCATCAAATTGCTTCAAACAGTGGTTTGTCGTCTGAAAATTTCGGGGCAAAGCGGGCAAAGCCCAAAACTCGATGGTTAATCATCAGTTTCCTTGTTTAAAAAAAGTGCTTTATTTATGCTTATTTGGTCTATTCCGAATTCCACATTTTGGGACAAACCCAAATGAAGAAAAACTGATCGCCAAGTGAATGCTCTACTGTGCTTAGGCTTTGGAACCGATACGTTTTGTTCTAATCCAGGAGAATCTCTGCGCATGCCCTTTTCGAAACCACGGGCATACTTCTGTGACATCTATGGCAACTTCAAGCTGGATGCGAGGACGAATGCCAGCAGATCATCCCAGCTGATCTTGGACAACCCACCACTCGCAGTCATTCATGGCCGCTCGTGTGAAAGCATCATCCTGCATGCACACAGAAAGGGGCTGCACTGCATGGCACATGCATCACGTCACAAGCATCTCTGGTGTCGAACCCAAAAGCATTTGCTCAGTTCGGTATCCCAGGCTTTTTTTGAAACCAACCAGATCAAGACTGATCCTATGTGCTGCGAGTGATGCAATGATGCATTGAATGTGATGTGAAGCCCAGTCATTATTGTTGCTTCCAGTAGCTTCTGGCTGCTTGATCTGCTCCTGAGCACAGCAGAGGCAAGCCCAGACTCTCGCATAGAAGAATCCTGAGAAAGCGACGAGTTTTCTTTTCAGTCGCGCATATGCCACGTACTTGTCCTGGCAACGATTGAAATGGTTGCTCTAGGCCATCGAGCAACCCAGGAACTTGTGGAACCAAATACCCATCAAATTCCGCGGGCAGACACGCCATTCCGGAACACTTCGTTCTTCGATCTGCTTCTCCCATGCAACCATGGCTGCACATGGAGGTTTCCTAAAATAGTGGTACCAAAAAATGTTTATAATGGACAATCCTACTAAAATGGATCTGAAGCTTCTCTGAAACCATTGAGTGTCTCATGTCTCTGCGAAAACAACAAATGATTGGCCCGTCGGGGTTGCTCTCAGTGCGACCCTGTGACTGTGGAAAGCAACGGCCGGGCATAAGCATTCACGACAAAAATACCTGCGCATACAAGGCCTGAACCTGGATCTGTGATGATCTGTGATGATCTGTGCGCCAACAAGTGCCGCCATTTTTTGCATGCACTGAGTGTCAGCGTTGAGAGCATTCACCTGTCAGATTTTGGGGACCAAGTGTGTCCAACTGAAACGCTGCTTTCCGGGCCTCTGCGCTGGAAAATGGTCTTGCGAACCCCCACAAAACACCCTGGCAAGGAGTGGGCAAGTTGCCCCCATCAACTTCGAACCCGACGAACTCGAACTTGGAAGTTGATTCTGAAGATCCCGAAGATCCCCGCCTGGTGTAACCATTAACCATTAACCCTTCTCATCCGTGGGCAAGCAGACCTGACACCAGATGGATCCAGATGGTTTCACTGCGAATCTCCGAATCAGAGTCCGAGTCCCCTGACCTCACCACCAGAGATGCAGTCAAGCATCCAGCTCGAGGGTAGGATTACCCACCTCACGAATTCCGAATCAGTTGATGCCAAATAACACAACAAGACAATTCCCAAATGTCAAATCACTGCTGGATGATTGGATGAAGAGACTTCGCACTGGGAAGACTGGGATCCCTGCCCAAGTTCTTCAGCAAGTCGTGTGGTTCTTTCCGAACCACGTCCCTGTCGGCTAGGCGCTAGGCACTGATGGAAATGGATCTGTCTGAAAATGGAATATACATGAATATACCTTCTAAATGGATCTAAATAGCCATTAAAATCATTTAATAGGGGAAATTATGAACCAATGGATTTAGAGATGCCAGTTCTTCAGACCCAAATGTGGACACGAACAGTCTGGCACTGCGATGTTTGCGGAGCCTTCGTGGCTTTTGAAGGCACCGTGACCATAATTGGTTTACGCCACCTCACAGAACCACGGAGGGCAGTGCCATGGTGCCATGGTGCCATGGTGCCATGGCTAAGCTCTCCACCACAAATTGGGGAAGCCGGAAGTTTCCTCGGTCAATGATTCAAATAATGTTGCTGACAATGTCAGTTTCCAGCAAGTGAGCCTAAGCAAAGCTTGCTGGAAAAATGTGCCTTCGTCGAATTTGATGAGCGCTTTCGTTTCCTCTCCAAGGCTGACATATTAGATGTGTGGCCGCTACAGATCTCGAACACATGCCAGCCTTTTGGATGATAAGAGTTCGTCGGCAAGATGTGGTGGATCTTCCTACCAAAATTAATTCAACTGTTGTCAGAATGTCTACACTTAAGCGCCTCCAAAAAAAGGCACAGATTGCAGAGTGACTTTGCAAAATTGAAGTTTTCAAACTGCTCTGACTGTAGCAACAAGTGCTCCCTGCAATTCACAAATAGCCTTCGCATCCGGAAGCTTTCGAAGCGTATCCACAACCTGAAGAAATTCCAGATTCTTAAGTCCATGTCATACTCCAAGCAGACTGACACTGCCGCATTCGCTGACCCTTGCTCGAACTAGTACAGCATCTACTGATGTTTCAACCAGAGACGATTCTAGCCGAGCTGGTGCAATTGATCCTTCACAAATGCGGTTTCTCTTCAGTTCATCTGTGATCCAAAAAACCTGCAGAAAATTGTCATCAACAAAAAATAATATCCACCGACCCCTGCCAACCGCAGGGGGGGGCGCCTCAGAGAAAAAATGTTGTTCCGGAGCGAAGCTCCACTGGGCTTTTGCTGTGGTGCAGCTCGGCTTTGGAGGCTGTGGCCGGGCTAACAGCTACGTTGCTAGACGGTTCAGATGGTAACGTCCGGCAGTGCGCTGGCGGGGCTCTAACAGCTACATTTCTAGACGGTTCAAAAGGTCACGTCCGGCAGTGCCGCCCTGGGGCTTTGACCGGGGCTCTAACGGTTACGTTTCTAGAGAGTTTGAAACGGTCAGCTCCACTTGGTTTTTCTGTGGCGCAGCGCAGCTTTCGAGGCTGCGACCGGGGCTCTAACAGCTACGTTGCAAGAGCAATGAAAAAGGTTGTCATTCTTCGAGTACGTCACTTCAGATCTATGTGGAAGCATGTGCCATGCTCGGGGGTTCTTTTTCGGGAAATCTCCATGGATTGCTAGCCGCTGTTATGGCCAAGATGCGTCAACGGTATGCCAATAACTAAAGACACATGGGACGATTGTACTTCTCCATTACATGTTCCGTCGAACCCGGACGTTGCTCCACCCTTACAATCATCATCTTGCTCGTTTTGCTCATCATCATCATCATCATCATCATCATCATCATCATCATCATCATCATCATCATCGTGATGATTATTATGATGATGATGGTGATGGTGTTGATGATGATGATGATGATGGATCACATATACATCTACATATTGAAAGTCCGCCGACATGGCATTTCAAAAATACGCAACCCTTCCGCAATTCCGGCACGGAGCAACGTCAGGGTTGCACAGTACATGTTTAATGCTATCCTGCGCTCTACTAATCTGCCCCGACTCGACACACCCCAACAACACAACCCCTGGGATCCCGGCAGGGGACGGCAGCCCTTTAAACATAGTAATCCGGCGATGCCTCGCCGTAGTAGGTGTGTAGCTACTCGCTAGCTTGAGCTACCCGGGGGCGCGCCTCTGCCGCCGACCCCTGCCGAAATCCTTCACTCTGGTGTTGTTTTCACTTTTTGCGGGGTCCGGGGCGGGAAAAAAATACGATAAAATTACAAGATGCTTTTTGGAGGTCCATTTTGGGACACTTTTTGCTGTTTTTTTGTGTTTGTGAAGAGCCAAAACGCTGTAATACAGTGTTTTTGTGCCTTTGGCATGGAAAAAGTTCTTCTTGCAACATGCTGAAAACTGCGTAAATGCCAATGTTTTTGCTAGGCGTGCGCCAAAAAGCATTTTGCAAATACCGTGACTTTTGCTATCAGATGAAAAAAACACATCGTAAATACCGCGGTTTTGGGCCGGAGGCGCAAAAAACATCGGTATGTACGGTGTTTTTTGCTCCGAGAGTGTCAAAATAAAACGCGAAAACACAACCTATGTGACGATTTTTTGGGGCCCGCAAAAATTCGCAAATAAGATGTGTTGCAATAACAACAAGAACAAGAACAACAACCACAACAACAACAACAACAACAACAAGAACAAGAAGAAGAAGAAGAAGAAGCGCAACAAATACGACAAAAAGATGCGTTACAAGCTGCGGTATGATAAGAACATCATACTGTACTCTGCACCTGCGCGCACGCGCCGAGCACATGAACAACACCAACGTTCACACTGCTAGTACTATACATAACCCTTATGGCATCGCCGGTGTGCGAAGCTCTACAATTAATACAGAAATAATATACAATAATGTCAACCCTGGATTAATAAACCCCTAGACCCTAGGCTGTTCAATTGGGAAGTTCCCGATTAAGTATCAGATTATGACTATTGGGGTAGTACCACCCCAATTAATAAACCATGGATAACCATGGTTTATTAATCCGGGGTTGACATTAACAATAATGATGACAGGTTTTTATCGCGGCCTCCGCTCCAGCCCGTCGGGCAAATCGCACAAGCTCATGAGGAGCAGGTCCTTCTGCCTGGCGCATCATGGCGCATCGTGCTGAAAAAACGGCGCTGAAAAACGACGGCTGCAAAACGGGCGCTGGTGACCGCACGGGGGCACCTCCTCACAGTCCTGCGACGCCACACAGTTCAAACATCAGACATGGAACATCCACGGAATTCACGGTCCTTCTTAGGCTTTCTGACCTGGAGATGGAAAAGCAAACAAAATCAAACAAGCATGAAACAAAATGAAAAACACATCAGTTTTTCAAAGCTTGAAACAGATCCCAACCTGAGCCACGAAGTGGAAACGGAATCCAGCAAAAAGTTCTGGGCCATGTTGTCGCCCTCGGGAAGGCCCACCCATCTTGGCAGTATCCCCTTGCAATTCAAACTTGCCCTCAGCCAACCAATGCCCTGCTCTCATCGATTCATGCACCCAGTCAGGCGAAAGGACCCACGCACCCGCAAGCACCGCATCCAGGTATTTGATGGTTCGAGCCCCGGCGATCTGGCGACCTTCTGAGACGGTGCATCGAACTACCACACGAGTCTCTGCAGCACTTCGGCCTGTTGGCAAATCCCTCACAGCTGATCCTCCCAAGCAATTCACAGATTGCTTCAGTTGATGTAAATCACTGCGCGAGAATCCAGTGAACAGAACATTTGGCCTTTCAGGAGATTTTCCCTGCGAAACCGCAACTTTGGCAGTTTGGTGGTCCGGATGGTCTGACATTTTTCGGGAGGATTTCTGAGTGCTCGCCTGTGCCGCCTGTGACAGGATCCAAGCCTTTCCCTGTCGGCTTTGGCGCCGCCGAGCAAGGCTGACGCACAAACGCTGCGAGGCCGTCATTTGTTGCGTCAAGCCATGCGACCGCAGATGCTGCGACAGCAGCGCGGGACGGCGACGCTTGAGCGGACGACCCACCGCATCAGTGAGTGGAACGCGGCGTGGCGCCCGGTTCACCTGAGCTTTCTGGGAATGGGGCACCATTGCCATGGCTTGAGCTGGAACAAATCCACTAGTCACAGCTGTCTGGGAAAGGTGATCATCCGTCACATCAATGACATTCCTGTAAAAAGCTGAGTCAAGGTTCTTCCTGGTGGATTCAGCTTGAACCATAGCTGTTTGCGTGTCCTGCAGATTCTTTGAGTTTGGAGGTCCAAACTGGTCGGCATTTCTATGGTCAGGCTGCAGTTCCTGTGGAACCAGCATCGGCTCGGTAGCTTGGATGGCATCCTGCGACTGAAGCACCAAATCTTCGGAGAAACTCTCAATTGCATCCTCCAACGGCGGCAATGGCGATGCAAGATGTCCAAGATGTCCATTTCTATGTCCATTTCTATGTCCAAGATGCCCTTCACCAGATTGCTCTCCATTTCTATGTTGCACATTTGACACATCCATCAGATTCTGAGTCCAAGGACCCTCCATCACCAGCTTTTGGGAGCTTCCAATGGCAGTCGACTCCAAGGGTGGCGCTTCGGATGCCACTGGTGGCTCAACCGGTGCCTCTTGAGCTTCCCCCACTTCGACTGGCACCACTTGGAAAAGCTGCTGCGAGTCCGGTGGTTTTGGAGAAACCTTGGAACTAGGACCGGGCTCCCACAGGTCTTGAAGTGGTTGAGGACTGTCAGGAGAACATAGAAGTGAAGCCACGTGAGCCTCGACAAGATGACCCCATGATTTGGCAAAACACATCAAAATACAATTGTCATCCTATACTGTATGGCAAATTTTCATCCTGCACCAAGATGTTTATTCCATGAATCGGTCTATCAGCATCTTGAAGGCGAGCAGCTGTGTCTTCAGCATCCGCCAACCGACGACTGGGGGGAGCATCCCTGGTGAGAACATTGCTCAAGCCTCGAAAGATTGCACTCTTGGCGTCCGCACTGTGCAAATGAATGTCTGAACTATCCCCATTATATCCCCCCACACCATCCCAGTTTCATTGCCATGACATCCCAATAATATCTTCCATATCTTCCCACAAATCTGTTCGAAAATTCCCCCACATCCTGCCTTGTGGCGAAACCATTGGATCTGGCAGTCCAGGCAAGGTCGCTGAACTGGGGATCTGGAGCCCCGGCCTGGAGCCACGGATGGACTCCTCGTAGGTTTCTTTTTTTTGGATGAACAGTGGATGAAACCCATTTTTGAAGGTCCTTTTTTTGGGATGACAACATGTTTTTTTTGGGGGGGGTCAACTCATGTCTTTTCGGAACAGTTCTTTGCAGAGCCAAATTCTAAGACTGATGATTCATACGGATGGTTCAGCGGGAAAGTTCGCATGGAAATCATTTCCCAAGGTCCAGGCAAGGTCGCAAGAGGGGCCTAGCATCAACTTCACACGGAACTATGCAATATATGCCATGCAAGTTGACCAGTCTGCTTGGATCTCCCTCCTCCGATGTTGGAACAAAGGACGTACCTCAGAAAGCACGTCACTGCATAAAGAGAAAATCATGGCAGCGGATTTGGTGTTGGGCACAGTTTGTGGATCAAAGTTTTAACAAAAAAACAATCAAGAAAGGAAAAGGTTTCCAAGCTCTTGACCCAAACAATCTGCCAACGGGATGTTCTCAGCTGCCATCATCTGGCGTATAATTCATCGGGCACCACAAGCCCAATTCAAGCAGATTTGCATCACTTGGTGGCTTTGAAAAAAAACAGTTGTCCAAATGGTTATGCTGTCAGTTTGGATCAATAAAAGTTTCAAACGTAGAAGCATATCGCATGTGTGCAATACATATGCATCCACCTACATATTCATGCATTTATTTCTTTATTTCTCTATTTAGTTATTTAGTTTACTCATTGATCTATTCATTTGGTTTTTCATTCATTCATTAATTTTTTTCATTCATCTATTTATTTGTTAATAAGTTACTATACCTAAATTTGATAATTACCATAGACTATAGATTATGTTTAAAACAAGATGCAACCCACGAACCCGAATGCCCACACGTATGTTAATCGTAAAAATGTCGAAACACAAACAGAGGCAGTCACGTAAAATACTTTTGCGAAACACATTTTTTCAAAAGTCTTGTACATTCTTTCCCTGCTTGAAGGAAGGTGGGAAGTCAAACTTCCGACAATATGGGCAGATGAAAAGAAGAGATGGGAAGAGTGAGAGAGAAGAGTAGAGTAGAAGAGAGAAGAGCAGAAGAGGGAAGATCAGAGAAAAGAAAGAGTCAGAAGAAAGAAGATGCAGGTGCGCGAAAAGGTAGGGAAGTCGCGAAACACTATGTTTTTCCAATGATTTGGGGCTCCTGAGGGTCGAAAAGTAGGCTCGCTAAAGCGGCGGGTGCGGAGCCAGCTGGCCAGATGAGAGATGAAAAATTGCACGCCGTTGTGGCGCGAAGCACATTTCCAAGTCAAAACCAGGTTCGGAGCACTTTTGGAAGTTGCGATGTCGAAAAAGTGCACGCACGCCGTTGTGGCGCGAAGCACATTTCGAAGTCAAAATGTACAAAGCACACCATGTCCGGACCACTTTTAGAAGTTGCGATGTTGAAAAAGTGCACGCCGTTGTGGCGCAAAGCACATTTCGAAGTCAAAATGTACAAAACACACCATGTCCGGACCACTTTTAGAAGTTGCGATGTTGAAAAGTGCACGCCGTTGTCGCGCGAAGCACATTTCGAAGTCAACATGTTAAAAACACCAAGGGTTCGGACCACTTTTGGAGGTTCAGATGTCGTTTGGCCTGGCAGGCGCAAGGGATTGTGCACCTTGTCAAAAGTGAGCAAAACGTGAGGGTTTTGTACAACCACCACTACACCACGCCACACTCCAATACACTACACTACAACTACAACTACACCTTCACTACATTCCATTACACTACACTACACTCCACTACACTACACTACACTGAATGAAACTGCACCACACCTACAACTACAACTACAACTGCAACTGCAACTGCCACTACACTACATTACATTACACTACACTACACCCTACAGCTACAACTACATAAGACTACGCTACACTACACTAATTACAGTACACTACACTGCACTACACTACACTACACCCCAGTCCACTACACTACACTCCACCTCACTACACTACACCTCACTACACTACACTCCACTACACTACAGTACACTACACTCAATTACACTACACTACACTACACCACGCGACACTACACTGCGCTACGCTACGCTACACTACACTACACTGCACGAACTACAACTACAACTACAACTACGCTAATTGCATTACACTATACTACACACTACACAGTACAAACTACACACTACACACTACACACTACACACTACAAACTACACACTACACACTACAAACTACACACTACACACTACACTGCGCTCACTACACTACACTACGCTACACCACACCACACCACACCACACTACACTACACTACACCAATTGCACAACACTACACTACACTACACCACACTACACCACACCACACCACACCACACTACACTCAATTACACTACACTACACTACCCTACCCGACATTGCATTACATTACGTTACATTACATTACACTACACTCATTACACCACCACAAATGCAACTACACGACACTAACTACACGACACTAATTACACTACACCACAACTACAACTCCACTACACTACAACTACAACTACAGCTGCACTACACCACAGTACATCCAGCAGTTGTGGGTGAGGTGACCGACCAGGTGACCACTGCAACCATTGCAGCCACTCCAAAAAACACAGCTCCAACTACCTTTCGGTCCATCAGTGGATTCGCTCTGCCATCCGTGATTCACAACAACCAATCTCTCCTATAGGTTTCCTATTTTTGAAACTTCCGCCACCGCCTTCTTCGGTACTACTGGTGCGTACCTAGTGTAGACTGTGGAGTGTGGAATGGAGTGGAGTGCAGTGTGGAGTGAACGGGAATGTAGTGTGTAGGGTGTGAAGTTGGGACTGTGGAGTGTAAAGTGTCAAGTGTAAAATGTAAGGTGTGGAGTGTAGTATGTGGAGTGTGAACTGTAGAATGTAGAGCCTGGAGTAAAGTGTAGTGTGTGGAGTGTAAAGTGTAAAGTGTAGAGTGTGGAGTGTAGAGTGTGAAGTGTCGAGTGTAAAGTGTCAAGTGTGGAGTGTAAAGTCTAGAGTGTGGAGTGTGAAGTGTCAAGTGTAAAGAGTGAAGTGTAAAATGGAAAGTGCAAAGTGTAGAGTGTGGAGTGTAAAGTGTGGAGTGTCAAGTGTGGAGTGTCAAGTGTAAAGTGTGGAGTGTCAAGTGTCAACTGTGAAGTTTGGAATGTAGTGTGGAGTGCGAAGTGTCGGGTGAAAGTGTAAAGTGTGGAGTGTCAAGTGCAAAGTGTGAAGTGTAAAGTCAGTGCAAAGTGTACAGTCCGGAGTGTAGAGTGTGCAGTGTGAAGTGTCGAGTGAAAGTGTGGAGTGTGAAGTGTGGAGTGCCAAGTGCGAAGTGTGAAATGTAAAGTCGGTGTAAAGTGTAAAGTGTGGAGTGTAGAGTGTGGAGCGTGAAGTGTCGAGTGAAAGTGTGTAAAGTGTGGAGTGTCAAGTGTAAAGTGTGAAGTGTAAAGTCCCTCTAAAGTGTAAAGTCTGGAGTGTAGAGTGTGGAGTGTGAAGTGTCGAGTGAAAGTGTGAAGTGTGGAGTGTAAAGTGTGGAGTGTCAAGTGTAAAGTGTGAAGTGTAAAGTCCATCTAAAGTGTAAAGTCTGGAGTGTAGAGTGTGGAGTGTGAAGTGTCGAGTGAAAGTGTAAAGTGTGGAGTGTAAAGTGTGGAGTGTCAAGTGTAAAGTGTGAAGTGTAAAGTCAGTGTAAAGTGTAGAGTGTGGAGTGTAGAGTGTAAAATAAATTCTCACGATGTCCTACACTTGTCACATGAGTTGCACGTCCTCATGACCTCACGCAGCCCTGACAGTGCGTGCGATTGGCAAAAAATAAGAAAACACCACGCGTCTAAAGTGTTGTGCCTGCCACGCAAAATGATGATGGAGGTCTCCAAAGTGTTGCCCCGGCCACGAAAAATGCAACTCATCTTCTGAAACCTTGCAAAAGTATTGCGCCTGTCAGACAAACGACTTTCGACACTTTATCAGACATGTGAGAATGTCAGGAAGCGCCACACCTGCCAGGCAAAACGGCATTTTGACCTCGTTCGAAACCTTTCAAAATGAGAAGTTTTGCAGCTTCCCCCCATAGGCACGGCGACGCCACAAGAAAAGCAGAGAATCGAGATGAGACATGTTGGAAGCCCAAAACGCGCATTTCGTACAAGATGTCCTCAAATTTTCACACTTGGTAGTGAAAACAGGGGACCGAACAAGGGAACCAACCACGGTATCCTTCGATAACCCCATTAAACAAACCAAGCACCCGACCTTTTTGGGCACTTGAGCCACGGATGTCAACCAGCGGTTAGTTATGACCCGAACCCGGTGGTTGTTGGATAAGGGACAACTAAAACCCTGGAATAAACCCTAGGCACTGAACATACCTAACGCTTCTAGGTATGTTATGATACTCAATGTACAGTATGTCGCGCAAGAGCGACATGCTAAGGAAAAACTATTTGGAGTTTGAATTGGAACTCATAGCTACGCTATTTACACTACGCTATACCTACCTGCTATGCTACATGTAGTGGGGGCTCAGGGGTCGATATATTTCAACTCCCCCCTCGCCTGATCCACGCTCTGCGCTTTTGGCAGGCACCTACGCATTAATATTGCGCAAGCGGGCGCTCGCAGCAATCTATGCGTTGGTTTATGGTTTAGCGATGCGTGTGTGACACATCCATTTCGGTCCATCATTGGTGATGGAGGTGGATATTGTGTCTTGAGAAGGTTTCTTAAGTTGGGCGGATGCCCTTGACCTAAGACCAACATTATGTTTTGGGCGCTGCCAAGGGAATGTATGTGAGCAGGAGGATGAGGTCCACACACGTGGTGGCGCGGTTTCAGCGGGTTCAGCTGTGTGATTGCCCAGCAGTCCGCACTGCGACTCATTACCTAACTCTGTGTTATCCCTACTAAGTTTATCACATGGAATGCCATTATGTTCACCTATCGACAACTTCTAGATGTCAGGGGAAGAGGCAAACTTGGATGTGGTTGGCTTAGCATTCGCACTAAGTGCGATCTTGGCAACTTTCCGATGTCTACGGTTAGCGCGACCAGTTGGTTGGTTAGACCCTGGAAGCGACTCCTGACAAGGGATTGAGGCTGATGAAACAACTTGGGATTGAATTATGGCACTTAAAACGCTGGCTATTGGGGGTGACGGGAAACCAGGATTGGGAAGCTCTAACTCCGGAACATTTTATCACTATTCCCATGAAGTCGCGAATTTCAAGGAAGAGTGAAAAGGTATTGGGCTAGAGATTTCTTCACCTACCCTGATGCGAGCATGGAGCTCAGCATCCTCGTCACTTTTGACTCTTTATGTGCTTGCGTTAAGTGGTGCTTTCTTTCCCTTTTGGTGTCGTTTCTTTTCTTCAACCGTATTACTATTTGTGAAGTGGGCGCAGCGTTGGTCGGCAGGATGCCGTGTATGGGTGTTGCAGGTAGCACACCCAGGCGTATCCTCAGTGGTGAGGACATGATCTAAG